CTCTTGCATTGGCATTTTCAGCAACTTTTTCCCTTGGGATGATGGATTTCTCTCAACTTCTCTCATTTCTTCAAGGGTGATTACACGTAAAATAACATCTCTTCCATTCAGTTTTTTACGGTGCAGGCGCTCTGACTTACGAGCATCCTCTTCTGTTTTGAACTGAACCAATGCTTGTCCTAAGCCTTGCCCATTGTTATCTCTTGCATTGGCATTTTCAGCAACTTTTTCCCTTGGGATGATGGATTTCTCTCAACTTCTCTCATTTCTTCAAGGGTGATTACACGTAAAATAACATCTCTTCCATTCAGTTTTTTACGGTGCAGGCGCTCTGACTTACGAGCATCCTCTTCTGTTTTGAACTGAACCAATGCTTGTCCTAAGCCTTGCCCATTGTTATCAACAAGAATTTGTACAGAGTTTTCTTCCACTGACAGTCCCTCTAGAAACTGAAGGATTTCCATTTTTGTAATACTGTATGGGATATTTGATATATGTGCACATAACTTTGGCGGACCTGTTTCTCCCTCAGTATTCATCATGACCTCCCTCTGGTCATAGCTGAAGTTCTGTAACCTTTTCCGAATCATATCTATCTTTTCTAACATACCCTTTTTTGTTATGGGATGAACTTGAATAAAACGGTTCCCTATGTACTGTTTATGATGACACAAAGCTGCTTTGTAGTCAGCTTCATTCCTGAACTCAACAAAGCCTTCACCAATTGCTTTCCCATTGGGTCCATAAGCTATATAAATACTGTCTTCAACAATATCTAACTTTTTAAAGAAATCTATCACATGTTTGTTCTCTGACTCAAAGGGAAGACCTTTCAAATACACACAGAAACCCTGCTCGTGAGGAGATCTTGACCGTGACCTTTTCTGTCCACTAGGAGATTTGGACCTAGAAAGCGTCTGTTGAGGAGGATGGGTTTGTCCAGTAGGACCCATGGTTTGCTTGAAAGTTATATGGCCTCCAGCAGATACCCATTGTCTCTCTGTTGCAGGACTAACTTCAACATAGCGCTGAATCATCAGCATTCTGTTTCGCTTCAGTGCTTCAAAAGTATCTTGAGGGGAAAAAAACTTAACTAGTCCATTCCCATTATTTCGGCCTACATGATCCTTCAACATATGTACTGCATCCACACGGAGCCCATGGAAAAAGTCTTTTACATCAGATTCTGTTGCAGAAAAGGGCATTCCATGAACACTGACATACAAGTCATCTGGGTTGATAGAAAGGGGTTTCACACCACTTTGAGAATTCATCTGAATAGGATTTACAGGATTCATAGGCCCCATAAACAATGGATTCAAGCCACTGTTCATACTCATTGCTGTTCCAGACCCATTCATTCCAGTAGGTAAAGGTGCTATAGGTGGAGGAATAGGTGGAGGATTCATAGGACGCATTCCTGATATAGGCGGCATAGGTGTCATTGGTGGTACAGGAGGAACAGGGGGTATTGGTGGTACGGGGGGAACAGGGGGCAGTGTAGGTACAGGAGGTGGGACAGGTATCGGGGGAATAGAAGGCATTGGTGGCAAAGATGGCATAGCTGGAATGGGAGGAATTGGTGGAGGTGGTACTGTGTTCATAGGGGATGCTGTGCTAGGTATTGTTGAGCTAAAGGTTGGACTACCAAATGTAGCCCCAAGATTTGGAGGTGCAGTTCCCATACTGGCAGTTGAGAACGTGGGTATGTTTTTATTGCTTTCATGCACAGAAGTAGCTGCAGTTACTACACTAGGAGAAGGACTGGTAAAGTTAGGTACCGTAGTAGGCAAATTTACCCTACCGCTCATTCCTGAACTAGGCGGTGGTCCAGATCTGCTAGCATTTGCAGGTGGCATGTCTAAATTGGCAGTTTCAAAGCGTCTACGACTAAGTTCTATCATGTTTTGCATTTCAGTTTTACTGCTCAGCAACAGTGTTACTTTTGACCCTTTAATGGTACCACCTGTTCGCATCATACCAAGCCTTGCATCTTCATCAGTGGCAAAAACGATGAAAGCCTCACCCAGTTCACCCCCTACAATATGCACGCCCCCATCAGGAATGGTCAATCCAGAGAAGAAGTGGCGAATGTCCATGGTCCCCGCCACAATCGGGAGACCTTGCAAACGGATGACCACAGCCATGCTGCGCTGAAACAACACACACCTGCAGATGAGAAAAGGCAACGGCTATGTCAGACTACTGTTTATGATACCATATATTTACCTAGAGACATCTATCTACTACATTGCTTACATTCCTAAAGACATCATGAAAAATTAAGGCATGCTTAAGTTCTAGACTTTTTATTCATACAAATAAAATATTAAACATTTACAGCACAAGATTAATTCAAGATATGAACCAAAAATTCCAAAAAATAAATCTGTTAAAAATCAAGATTTTAAAGCAAAGTCAGCCTGATACCCAAACAAGTGTCAATACAAAACCCAAGAGTGAAATTAAATTAGAACCATCACATCAGATGATTCAATATTTAGTGGAAAATACAAAAAAAATGTTTCATCTAAGCAGTGGCCACATGCAGAAATGGGTCCATGCACCTTGAATCTTGAAAGACTACTAAAACAGTAAGACACTTTTATATACTTAAAAGACTCATGCTCTGACTGAACAGAAAAAAGCAAAAAGCAATACTACTGAATAAACTTTAAAACCTTCTATCTTGCTCAAGTATTAAATATATATTTACTGAGAGAAAGGAAATTAATCATAATTGTAAATTTAACTTGGTCAATTTTTTAATCATAGCTTTATTGCTACGTGGTTTTTCAGTTACTTTACAGTACATTTAGCAAAACCAACTCCAAAACAAGAAAAGAGAGGGAGGATAAGCTCTTTGGAACAAGGACTATCTTTTTCTGTGTATACGCATTACCTACCACAATAGGGCCCTGATCTTAATTGGGCCTTCAAGCATTACCCTAAGAAACAATATATGTCCAGATATTTTGTTAATGGAATGCGCCCCAGAACTGCTAACTCCAATATTTAAAACAAGTTATCAACACTATTTCTCCAACTTTCCCTTGCTGGCTAAATTCAAAGCCTGAGCAATGCCTAATGATCTGTGGAGCAGAACCAAAGCATGGATGTAGGTATACGTAGGTAAACCTTAGAGCCAAGATTCTAAAAAATGAGCCTAAAGTTAAACCCGCCTAACTCAAAGGCTCCTATGTAAAGATATTATTAAGGGAATCAGTTGCAAGCCATATAGGCTAGTGCAGTTGTGGGAGGCAATGAGCTACCTAAAATGTCACATCTAAGCTGGATGTAAAAAACTCAAGTCCTGAACAACTTTGATTATAAGATCCCACAGTACTTTCTGCCGCAACAAAAGCTCTATATCTCAGTGCCCAAGTAAAATTCAAACTCAGTTACAGTACAGTTGCTTCCCTACGTTCCCCCAGCAGTTTTGATGAAGACTTTATTCTCCAATTCCTCTTCTGAACAGTTAAGTAACAGTGCTCAACAGAAACTCAAAGATTATCCACATTGATACCTGACAACTAAATATTCAGGCAAAACAGAAGACTGCCACCATTTGGGGGAAAAATAAGTAGCCCCGTGCATTATGGTCAACAGATCAAAGGCACCAAACTTTATGCTCTCAAGTAATCTCAGTTTCAATAACTGCAGAAGGGACATTTCTTTCCTTTGAAGCATCCCGCAGTTTGCCCCCCTTTTGTCTTCTAATCACTATTAGCAATGGGTTTTAATATTACGTAGGCTCTGGCCTGTGCCAAATTGGCATTAGAAGTGAGAATTCCCTCTCTGCCTGCAGAGATATCAGTTACCAGCAACAAGCATCATCCTATCTACTGCACAGGTACACTATTTATGCTAACGCTCTAGTGTTGGGTCTCCTTTTGTTATCAGAATTTTCCTAGACTGAAGGGACTGGAACTACTAAATGAAAGAAAATGTGATCAAGAAAGTGGAATACTTTAAAATATCTTGGTATTTAACAATAACACTTTCTTCCCCAGAAATATCAAATGTAACTGTAAAGGAAGGTGTATTCAGTCGTTCTAGACTTCTTAAAATAATTTCTTAAAAGTTTTGGAATGTGTTTAGTTTGGCCATTATGGTCTCATTTCAATACTTTCTTAGAAGTCGTACAGTATAAATTTTATAGCATAAATAATGAAAATTACATTTGTTTGCTCAACTATTTTTCAAGGGTAATGGTGTAATTTTCATCTGAACGGCTGAAGTGTTCACAACATAGAAGTAAACCACTTGTCAAACTATTAGAAAAAACTGCTATAACTTCTATAATAATTAACATTTCAAGCTTTTTTGTTGTTTGAAAAGGAGCACTGTTATTTAAGGAGAATGAAACTGTTTCCTTAAAATTATGTAAATAAGGCTCCAGAGGTCCAAAACTAGCAATTAATAATGAAAATTACTACATATTTAGCATTAATGAACTGTTATGAAACAGGGAATGTGTCATATCACAGGATAATATTAATAGAGATATGTAAAGTTTAAAGACATGTAAAAAATTACACATATTTCAACAGATAGCTTTTTTAAAAACAGCAGCCCAGAAGTGTCCATATTACAGCACTGATTAGTTTGGAAAAATCATGTAAAATAGCCAAGTAAAGGTGCTCAAGAACTCCAGCTTTTAAAATATTTAGACTAGAGCGGTCAATTAATGCATGTTAACGCCTGCGATTAACGCACAGCACAATTAATGCATTAAAAAAATTAACATGTTATTCTGAGGTGTTTCCGCAGCACTGCCCCTTTGAAACACCGCCAGGGCAGTGCTGCGGTGAAGCATGGGATCAGCTGGAGTTTCAAAGGGGCAGCACTACATGGAGCTGTGGTCAGCTGGGGACTCCCGCTGATTCTGGGCTATGTGCAGCACTGACACTTTGAAACACAGCGGGAGAGTTTCAAAGGGGCAGCGCTAGCAGAGCCTGGGATCAGCTGGGAACTCCAGCTGATCCTGGGCTCCTGCAGTACTGCCCCTAGGGCGGCGTTTCAAAAGGGCAGCTGCACTAAGCCTGGGGTCAGCCGAGGACTCAAGCTGATCCTGGGTTTCCGCAGCACTGCCCCATGAAATGCAGCTGCAGAGTTTAATTTTTTAATCGCTTGACAGCCCTAATTTAGACATAAGTCCTTAGCATTATCTACTATGTAAAGAGATTAAAATTAGATATTTGAATTGTTTATACCCATATGCCCTCAAAAAGCACATACGTTTTCCACTACTTATTTTACCCTTTGTCAAATAGAAAACTGACTGCTTCATAATGATTTCAAGGGTGCACCAGAAATGTCACAGTAACTGATAAGAGCATTAAATATTGATATATTTAAAAAACATTTATATAAGTGGTTTTGGTGAGTTTTCCACTTCGTACAACCAAAGTAGTTGCTAATTAAAATACTTCTGGTGCAAAACATTTCAATTTCTCCAAAGCAGTGAAAGATTTAAGGATAGATTTAGAATCCAAGCTAACCTTCTCTACAGATATTTTAAAAAGAGCAGGTAAGCACAAGAGTGTCAAAACTTATTTTTTGCAGAAATAGCATTTTAATCATGCCAGGTGTGGCCACACTACAGCTCTAACTCCGTGATTCATAGTAGAACTCCAATAGATATCAGATTATTTAAAAAAGAAAATCACACATTTGTGGGGAGGTCTCTATTTGCTCATGTGAACATGCAGTTCCTCTACTTACATGTTTAAATGCAATAACAAGCACAAAATTACAAATGTATTTCAAATGTTCCTCTGCAGACCTAGTTTATAATCCAGTCTTTAAATAATCATTGGTAGGTTTTACAGATAGCATGCAATGGAGATGACTGCACAGGTTCAAACCTCCTAGAATTGTCATTTCAGGTTAAAATGGTGCTGTATTACATTTGGAAGCTTATTACTGCAATTATAAGCTTGAACCTTTCCTAAAATTATGGTTTCCAGCCTAAAGATCTAACGTTTTGTGGATACCAGACAACTGCATTTATTATCCTGAATCTAACACACAGGCCAAAAGTTGTCCAATTGCCTAACATTAAAAGCGGTGGTATCCAGCACGCTAGCCACTAGCCACATGTGGCTGGCTATCAGGCCAGCTGAGTGTGGCTAGTTGGCTTGAACAATGTGACTATTTGGATGGTTGAGTGTGGCTAGTTCACTATAGCATTAGCCACTATAGCAGCTACTGTTTCAGAACTGGTTGGACACCATGGATTATAAGTATCAACCAAAAGTAAAATTTGTTAAAGTCACCTATTTCATGGGACCAGGATTCTGATTCCCAGTTCCCATTAAAATTAGTGGGAATTCAGGTATTCCAACTTCTAAGGCAGCTTTGAAATATATGGGTGAAAAGTAAAACATGTAAGAAAGAAAATTTTCTGTAATGAATTATAATGCACTAGAGTTTTTAAAAATCACCCTGATAGGCTCTCTTATTTCAATGTTACAAATAAGGGTAAAAAGTTAAAAATGAAAATTAAGGTCCTGATCATGCAAACACTTAACAGGTAAAAGAATTTTATTCAAATGATTAGATGCTTTGACTCACTTGGAGTATTTATGCCTGAAGTTAAGGATATCAGTAACTGCTTGTAACATCAGAGGTTAAATTGTATTTTTAGTAAAAGCTTCTCAGTTGCATAAAATATGTCACTTCAAAACACTTTAACCATTAACAAAAATTCTGGAATTTTACTGTAACAAAACGAACTCCTAAAACCACTCACAGGCCCAAATTCACCAAAATAGAAGCCTATAGTTAAGTTCTTTGGGATGGGATTTTCAAAAGCACTTAAGTGATGTAGATGCAAAAAATCCCATTGATTTGAACTATAAACCATGATGGAGCAGCACAGTCTGGCTAAAGCTTTTCTACTGTCCACTTCAGTACTGGAAGGAGAGAGCTGCAAATACAGCGTAAGCTTAACATGTTCAGGGTTATGTTGTTCATGGTAAGGATGTCAATGATACCCCTCAACTTTTGTATGACTTGGGCATTTTAAGTATAAAGCATCTATCTATGCAAAATCTGAAATTGTATTTAAAAAGTAATATAAAATCATATGAATTGTACAGCATATTAGCAATTTGTGACTAAAAAGAGAAAGTAATGAACCACTCACAAACAAAAATCTAGTTTAATTAAAATTAAGAAATGATTAACTTAACTTAATCACGTTCATCTAGCTAGACACATAAGTACTTCTATTGCCCATTTCAAAAATAATTGCTGTTATAGTGTGCAATTGAATAGAACAATATCTGACTGTTTTATACTGACAATGTATATGTCAATTCTCAGTAATGTTAACAGAAGCTGGGTACACAGAGGATAATAATTATTTTTTACATATGGCCTTAAATTAGTAAACAGAGAAGGCACTGGATTAACCTTTGAATTTACATCTTGTTCACAGGTACAAATACAAGTGTGGAAGGCTCAATCTAGTCTCCGCTGAATGTTAAACTACAATACCACCGCCAGAACACACACGTTTGGCAATCCTTGGACAGAATCAAAAAGGCAGAACAGCATTGATGCGGCAAGAAGGATTGAAGGTATCTAGCCCGAGATGTGTTAGGGGACTAGTAATATCCAGAAATGGGCAGACAGACTTTTTGCAAAGAACTAGCATTCACCTATTAGGAAAGATTAAATACCGTCTCAGAAATAAATATAACTGAATAAATACTGCAACTACTAGTAAAAAGAATCCAAATAACGTATTTTACATATTATCTATCACTTCTAGGAACATGCAGAACTATTGCCTGCAGCAAATATCTATACTTACAAATAGTGGAGAATTGTTGGAGAGAGTATGCAAAACTATTACATACTGATAAAACAGCACTACTTCAGAATCTGGCAGAAAAGTAATTTACCACAACAACATTACCACAACCACTATTACCAATGGGAATTGGAGCTGAAAAGCAGAACTATTTATGTGTGCATGTGTGCACACGTGCCATTTTTATTGACCAAAATATTTTGAACCAATTAATATATTCCATGTAACTGTTAAGACTGTTTCTTAACATGTAGCTAGTAAGCATAAAAAGAAGTCTTCAAGTCAAAATCTCTTACCTGCTGAGTCAGATGTTTTTTCTTAATAAGTAGTAGAAGCCAAGCCAATCCTGTGGGCAACCAATTAAAACCAACTTTTAGACTGCAATAAAGAATAAATGGAGGCAAAAATCAATTCAGGCAACAGCAGCAGTAACAGTCCACAATGAACTGTATATTAAGAAAGTTCAAGACGCTGAGACCACCACAAAGCACTGTATCATATAGCAACCACAAGACTAAGTGTGCAAAAAATGTAAACAATTGTTCATCTCCTACACCAGCATCACATTTGGATAACTGCACTTGCTTAATTATACTTTGTTACCAAATTTTAACTCATAAAAAGGCTTTAGCAGAAGAACACGAAAATTAAGAAACAGAAAACACTCATTACACAGAACTTCATATCTCCAATGGTTTTTTCCTTTCTAGATACCCAAACTAGTCAATAAAACTAGCAAAGCAGAACCAAATACTGATACCAAGAAATATAAAACCTTACCCAATTTGTTACTAACACTATCAAATCAATTCCTTTTTAATCTGCACCTTCCTATCCACACTTAAGCAAAGCAGTATCTTACGCTGCTGTTGAAAAATACTTCTAGAAACTACACATTAACTTGCTTCCAAGAACCAGCAAAAACTTTTGAAGCTAAGTCACACGTCCAAGTCACATCTTTGGAAAACACTTGCTTTCACACACTGAACTATAAGAACCCATGCCTTTTTTTGCAGTCCACAGAACTGTTAACCCAACACGTAGTACCAAAGTCAGATCCCAGGCAATTTTTGTACTAGAGATCAAATTTCTATTCAAGGATCACAAGAAAGAGCAAAAAAGCTGTATGGTTTGACTGGAAACATCTGTGTATCTAGATGTAAAAAGTAATTTATTAGCAATTCCATTACCTAATAGACCACCTTGCACTATATAATCTTGGATTTCTGGAAGATACCTAAAGAAAAACCTACTAAGAAAAAAATGAAAACATGTAATGAGAAAGAGCGTGACTTCAATGCTCTTTTCTCATGAAGTTGGAAAACTGGGGGCATCTGCGGTAAACATTTAGTATTAACATACATCCACAAGCTGACATTAAATGTACTGCATATAATCCAGAAAAGTTCACTATCAAAAGATTAAAACAGTCATATTCAGAAAACTTTCAGGATACAGGACGTCAAAAAGCAAGATTACAAGTAAGAGAAAAAAGTCAACTCAAGTCCCACAGACTTTTTGATTAAAATGACAAATACTCATCTTCAGAGCAGAGCCATGCTTTTATTTTGCTTTTAGAGGACTCAAGACCAGTCAACCCCAAATTAGGATCCTGCTATTTACTTCAAAGAGTAACCAGTTTCTAAAAGATATGACAGCCTGAAAGACAGCTTTCACACAAATGTTTATTAAGTATGATTAGGACAGATCTTTCATGCAGATGCAACATTTTACTCAGAAATTCCAGATGATTCAGAATATATCCACTATATAAACCAAAAAGCATTCTAGTTGTGTATACTTATTTAGAAACCTAAAACTAACAGACCAGGCTACTGTAATACAGGGCTAAAGATACACTACAAAATAGCACTTTATAGTATGCAAAACTCAACATTTTTCAAATATAGCCTACCACGATTGAACTTTCCATTGTACCAATCCAACATAATTCATTTACCATTAGCCAACAGAACTAATTTGTTTAGACAAATTGTCTAGATCTTGAATCATAACATTTAAAAGCGTACATTTCAGTCATGTAGATACAAGCACCAAATTGACATGAAAGAATGTGAGTATATAAAAAAAAATCAATTCTGCCACATTCCTCCTGGGTTTTCCACTGTAGACAATTATTCCCTAGAGAATAGGATGAGACCCAATTTAGGTCACAAGTGAAAATAAGCAAGGAGCTTGTTTGATGGTGAAAAAAGGCACTGATCTGCTTGACTAAACCCCACAGTGTTGGTAAGGGAAGCTTGAAGAGATACAAAAGTTTAAGGCTTCAGGTGATAACCGAGTTAGTCTGTACAGGATAAACTTAAAAAGCAACAAATGGTCTGGTAGCACTGTATAGACTAGTCTAAGGATGCAAAACAACAAGAACCAAGGTCCTTTCTACTCCACAGAAAGGAAAGTTCAGAGAATCACGTTTCACAGACTCCAGTCCTAAAACGGGATCATTGCTATCATCTAGTCTGACCTCCTACACACAAGAGCGATGTGCATTCTCCTGAAGACTCACTGTGAAGCACTGTCCTATCGTCCAGCGAGCCTAGGAAACGAGAACATCGCCAGGCTGCAATGACCATCGACCGAACATCAGCTCACACGAACAGCGCATCTCGGCCCTGCTCTCACTGAACCGTCCCTCGTACAACGCTCCTCCTGCTCCAGCGCGTCCACCTCGCACAGAGCAAGGGGCTGCCCGTGCCCTGAGCGCGAAGACGCAGCCTCCAGCCCCTTCCCTGGAAGCTGCCACAACCGCCTCGCGCGA